ACATAGCAAATTAAACTAATATTTGGCATTTTCACATATTTATTATCTCAGATCAACTCTAGGAAGGTACTATTATTTATTATTATTTTATTTACAGCAGAGGAAACTAGTCTTCAGAAAGGCTAAGTGATTTGCTCCAGGCCCCAGCAATAGGTGGTGCTGGGAAGCACTAGACACTCAGATACGAAGTCCAATGAGTTCTCCATTCAAGACATCTGTCTCGTCTACTCAGAAGACATCAGATATCCTAGTATTTTTAATAAACATCCCAGTAACCCTGCAGTAATTTCTGGACACTATAGACTGGGGTATATCTGAGTTATTAAAAGCAGTTATGTCTTTTAATTTAGTGTTAAAAAACAAACAAACAAATAAAAAAAGACATACTGCCTCTCTAGTGGGAGGGTACTACTTAGCAAGCACCTAGAATTATTCTTCATGTGGCATAAATGAAACTTCAGCTGTAAATTAGAAAAACAATGTTCTCAAATAGCAATTCTTTCAATGATGTCTGTGAATATTGCAGAGGATTAGAGTTATCTCTATGTGAGCTGGTTGACTTTGTTCTTCATGGCCACAGGCAATACATAGGAGGTCATTTTACAAATACAAGTTTACTAATGAAGGGAACAAGAGTGCAGGAGAATCTGTACAGGTCTGTTACCATTTACTCACTAGAGTACAGTGCTTGGCATACAGTAACAATCTGCTATGTGAACACAGAAAAATTTAACTGATGGAAGTAAAATCAACTTCCTTTTTTAGGTATTTTATATTAATTTTAAGATAGCTATTAAGTGGTCTCTCTGTCAATTTGCTGTCACTCTTACAAAATCATTAGGAATTTTCTAAGCACCTACTATGAACTCTGAATTATCTGGAAGCAGAAGTGATAAAAGTAATAGCTTACATTGTATGCTTCCCACATGCTAGAATTTAAGTGCTTTTGATGTGATTTTCCATTTAAATTTCACTGAACCCTCATAACATCCTATGAGACAGGTACTATACAAACCTCATTGTATAGATAAGGAATCTGAAGCTTAGAGAATCAACTGCCTTTTCGAAAATCTTAAGCCAGGACTGGGATCTAGGTAATTAGAGTCCAGAGTCTTAACTCTACTTCATTAGACTGCCTTTTCCTATTAATAGGAAATAGTATATTTGCTCTCAAGATATTTACAATTTTGATAGTAAAGGTTAAAATTGCAGCTTTGCAGACGTTCTAAGGAAAATTTACTTTTCCAGAACATACTCTGGAAAGTCTGATTATTTGTCCATTCAAATGTTTATTGAGACCTATGTATTAGGCATCGCAGTAGGTCTAGTAGTGCTTTAGGGAAATTCATTTGGCATCCATGGGCTGATCAGAACGAGGCTGGAAGACTAGCTAAAATTGCAGTTATCCAGCAGTCCTGAAATCATAACAGAGAAAATGTAGAAAAAATGTAGAGAACACTCACTCATTCAGCAAACATTTCCTGTACTACTTGTACTGTGTACAAGGCTCTGTGCTAGTGGTGGGGATACAGTAATGAATAAGCCTTCATTGAACTTATATTTTAGTGTGGAGTAGAGGTGTGCAAAGCTTCGTCTTACACACACACAAAAATCATTTTATTATCAAGAGCCATGAAAAGTATGGCATGGTAAGGCAATGTATTACATTAAACTAATATAGTCTAAGGCAGCCGTGGGCAAACTACGGCCCGCGGGCCGGATCCGGCCCATTTGAAATGAATAAAACTAAAAAAAAAAAAAAGACCGTACCCTTTTATGTAATGATGTTTACTTTGAATTTATATTAGTTCACACAAACACTCCATCCATGCTTTTGTTCCGGCCCTCCGGTCCAGTTTAAGAACCTATTGTGGCCCTCGAGTCAAAAAGTTTGCCCACCCCTGGTCTAAGGGGTCAAGGGAGGCTTCCTTGAGAAAAATGACATTTTAACTGGACTCTAAAGGATGAGTGAGGCTAGCTGGGTAAAGAGGAGAGGTATACGTGGGAGACAGAGAGGAAAGCATGCATGAATGTCCTGAGCCAGAATGGATACAACTCACCTGGCTGGGATGGGAAAGAGGTTTCAGATCAGGTTGATGAGATGCGTGGGGCTGGAATATGCACCGCTTTCTAATTTTCATTAAAAAACAAACACTACTCTGGCTACATGAAGGAGGATGGATTGAAGTGGAACAAAAGTAGATGGAGAGGAGTCAGTTAGAGGCAATTTTAGAAGCCTAAGCAAGAGTTGTATTGGCTTGGACTGGGTGATAGCAGTGGAAATTGGGGAGATCTTCCTAATGGCTTGGATATGTGTGCAAGAAGCAAAGAAAAAATGTCGAGGAGCATACTTAAGTATTTGGCTTTGATCAAATATGAGGATGGCTCTGTCTACCAAGATATGGACGAGTGGCTGGAAGAGGATCAAGTTTAGTGGGAAAGCCCGTAAGTTCAGTTTGGGAAACAATGAGTTTCAAGTGGCTGTGAGTCGTCCAAGTAGATTTAAGAAAGCAGTTGGCTGCCTTGGTCTGAAGATCAAGTTTGGATATTGTGTGAATTGGAGTGCTAATAAACTTGGGAGTTATTAATGAACAGATAACAGTTCAAACCAAGGAAGTAGACAAGATCACCTAGGTAGAGAATATAGCAGGAGAACATAAGACTAGGATTGCACCTTGAGGGACTCAAACCCTTAAAAGACCTGGTAAAGAGGATGACTCTATACAGGAGACTGTGAAAGAGCAGCTAGAGAGGTAAGAGGAAGCCAGGAGAAATTGGTGTTAGTAGATCAAGGAGTGGTCAACAGTATCAAAAGATACTGAAATTCAAATAAGATGGGAATGGAAAAATCCTTTGGGTTTAGTGATATAGAGGCCATCTGTGATCTTAGAACTGTTTTGTGCAGTGGAACAGGTGGCTACCAAGATCAGAACCTCCTACTTGGACTCAATTAATAATCATTTCTAGCCACCTAACTTCTACTTTACAGAGCAGCGTCAGCTGTCCATTGCCTTACCCTAGCTCAATATGTGGACTCATCATTTCTTGCACATATGAGTGATTCCACTGGCCATTCCACTCCATGAGTTTACCTGAGTAACAGTGTAAGCAGTTAAGATGGGAGACTATGAATCTGGTCTTCCCTCATTCAGTTTCAGGGTATGTCTCTTTTAGCACATGCCCTTTGCTACACTGAGTGTGAGTCTGGTGTTTTAAAAGATGCCCTATGTAGCCCTAGCCAGTTTGGCACAGTGGATAGAGCATCGGGTTCTGGGTTTGATTCCAGTCAACGGCACATGCCTGGGTTGCGGGCTTGAGCTTCATCCCCAAGTCGGGGGCGTGCAGGAGACAGCCAATCAATGATTCTCTGTCATCATTGATGTTTCTATCTCTCTCCCTTCCTCTCTGAAATCAATAAAAATGTATTTAAAAAAAAGATAACAGTATGTATTTTTCATACAACATGGACCCTAAACATTTAAGCCAACTTCTTTGATTTCCAAACGGAACCAGCCATCTGTTTCATTGCTGAGAGAAAAGTAGGCTACAATGACCTTATTGAGAAACAGTATATTGATCTCCGACATAGAGACTTTCTAGGGTAATTTGGACTATTTGCAATTTTCATGTTAGGAACTGACTTTAGAACTAGTTTATGACGACACACCGAAGAGAGAAGAAAATGTCTATGGGCTTCCTGGGGTGAGTGAGTACCAGCCAAGAGAGACGCTACCCTAGCTATCAGGTATTTGTTCCTGCCTAATTCTCTATCCTCCTAGGTTTGGCAGGCAGCCTAAAGCCGCTTTACCTAACCGACCCTGCCTTGTTTGCTCTGGACTTCACCTTTTGCCTGCTTCACTTGCAATACTTCAGTTCCTCCATCCTGCTGCTTCTGAAATTCTCATTTGCTGGAAAAAGGCAAATAAAATACTTCAATTAACTATACTTATTAAGCTGTATTTAGTATTCAAGTGTATTGTATTCATTGCAACGTTTTGACTATGCAATTAAATTCCAGGCTCAAGGAGAACTACATCTTATTTCTATTTTGAATTATCTAGGTTATACTAAGTACACAAAAGTTGTCCAATGTAGTAGGTATGGTGCAATAAACCACATCTCTTCTTCCTTTCTGCATAAAACAGAATGGAGCTGAAGAGAAAAATTTTTTTTAGAAATAGCCCTAACCGGTTTGGCTCAGTGGATAGAGCGTTGGCCTGCGGACTCAAGGGTCCCAGGTTCGATTCCGGTCAAGGGCATGTACCTTGGTTTCGGGCACATCCCCAGTGGGGAGTGTGCAGGAGGCAGCTGATCGACGTTTCTAACTCTCTATCCCTCTCCCTTCCTCTCTGTAAAAAAATCAATAAAATGTATTTTAAAACATTTTTTTAGAAATAGGCTATTCCATTCACAACTTAACCTAAATAAGCTCACACAATAATAGCAAACAAAAACAAAAGTGGTCAGCAATTCCCTCCCGAGAGCTGGCGGGGGGAGGGAGCGCGCTTTTTTGGATTCCGGACTCCAGCAATTGGCAAGCAGGACAGCCCTGCCCCCTGCCGCTGAGTTAAGAAAAAGGTCTCAGCACAATTAACCGCTTTTGTGGCGGGGACGTCACACTCTGGGCAAAACATCTTGAGTGCGAGTCAGAAGGTGAACCAAGTCAGCATTTTCCTGGATTCTTAAAAACTCCGGCGACAGTAACTTCTCAGCCACTTAAACACACTCACTCTGGCATTCAACATCACGCCAAGTAAACTGGGTTTCAAAAACGGGAAGTTTTAAAAACCATTATTTCCCTCCCAGCCACTTTTCAATTAGAGAGGTTACCACCCCGGGTGGTCGTGATTTAGGGGAGGTCCAGGATCAGGGCAGCTGAGGACGGTTCTGGTGGGCCCGCCGGGCCGGGGTGGGACGCCGCAATCCTGCCCACAAGTTCCGCGGGCCAGTGGTGAAGCGGCGGGCGTGAGGGGGGCAGGAGGGAGGCGGGGGGCGTTTACCTGGGGCCGGTCCCTACCAGGTAGGTGTTGGTGCCCTGCAGGGTCATGGGGCCCGGGTTACAGCCCAGGACGCGCACCACCCGACTGGACAGCCGCTCCATGCGCTGCAGAGTGGCTGCCATCTCCGCTTAAGCCACCCGTGGGCACGCAGCTTACAGTGCGACCGGAGCACGGAACCTGCAAACAGGCCGGAGCCAGCAGTCA